TGTTGTATTCACCTCTGACATTCATATTTCTCTACCCAAAAACTGAAGGTGTGCAGAAAAGCCTCAGTTTCTGGAGAACTGGAGAAAGTGCCATACAATGCTATAGCAACACTGTAAGGATCCCAACTGTTTGGCTTTTTTTAAAAAAAAGTTAAAGATTGTGTACAGATGTATAATCAGAACAGGAAAACACCAGGTGCCAAAGGACTATTCAGTCTTAGGAATAAATGCATCAAAAGGCAGCACACTGTAGCCAGAAAAAAAAAAAAAATTAGAAAGGAGTTACACATATTTTTTAACTCAGATATTAAATATTACAAGAGATGTAAAATAGGAAGCAATAGATTTTTAAAATTCTTTTCTGCTTTTAATCACAACTGGATGCTTTTTTTGAAGTTTAGCCAAGTAACTTTTCCAGTTAAACAGAATTTACTAGGTTTAAGTAATTAAATAGGAATTAAAATACAGAAAACAGCAACCCAGTAAGCTTGTGTTGTTAGCAAGACACTGCATTTGAGAAGTCTAATGTATAAACCTGTGTACCTCTTGGCAGCAATCATGACAAATTTGAGAAAGACATGATTTTAGCTGGACTTCAAGGACTGTCTTCTACTACAAGTGCTGATGCTGGCCTTTGCAGGAGTGGATAAGAAGGAAACAGATGTCAGTGATATCTCAGTCTGCTGAACCTGCAATAGACAAAATCTTCTGATTTTAGTACAACCCCAAGTTCGTGAAACTGTGGAAGAAAGTTGTAGGAAAGAAGGTACAGAAACCAGAAGATGTACTGTTTCATTTAAACTTGTTCTGTGGAGCTTGGCACACTCACATGCTAAAAAGCTTAATGACTTTCATGTTAATGACTCGCTAGCTTGACCTGTGAGAAGTTGAGAAGAGTGGTGGGAGTGGAAACAGCATGACATGTTCCTGCCTTACAGAAACCCAGAGGAGGTTTGATGTAAACCAGGCACATTTTGTTCTTATGCTGCTGTTCAACACAGCAGGGTGCCAAGCACATTTTCACATTGATATCAAAAGCAAAATTAATCATTTGGCCCTTTTTCCTTTCAAAGAGAACTCAAAAAATCTAGTGGCAGTACAAATCTCAAAGAAACTGAGTTTAAAGAGAGCAGCTGCAAGGTTGTGAGTCGCTGAAGGCATCGTGCAGGCTGGGGCTGTGTGCTCTTTCCACGGCCCTGCAAACTCTTGTTTGTGGAGATTTACTTTTATTTTACCCCATGCCTACAATGGACACCCTTCTCTGCTGCCAGAACAGTATGGAAAAGATTTCAATGTAATTTTCAAATCCTCGGTAGCTACACGCACAGTAATAAGAGATCAATTATTCTTGTATACTAGAAATTGATCTGGATAAGAGATTGCTCAGAGATAACTTCAAAAGCATAAGAAATTTGGTAAAGATAAACAGTACTGAACAAAAAGCTTCAACATTTTCCTTGTCAAAATTAATTCTATTCACTCCATGCAAAGTGATAAAATGTCATGAAATTTGCTGATGAAAACTGATGAACTAATCAATACAAAAAGAGGTGTGCTCTCAGAAGAAGATTGAAGAGGGTTGCCCAAAGGAGAAAGATTACTAGTTACACCTTCAGCCTTGAAGTTTTGCCAGTATTCAGAGCTTGTAAAGTTTTTTTTCTTAAAAAAACCGAAACAAAACAAAACAAAGAACCAGCAGGTGATGACAGGCAAAGTATAAAGACATTCCATTTATCCTCCCAAATTGTTCCTTTCATGCAACTTGCAAATTTTTCATTCTGTGTACCATACCAGCCACAGCTTAGTACTCTTTCTTTTCTCAGAGGGCCATGTTTTCCCTACTTCTCTAGCCACCTTAAGAAACAAAAACATGTATTTGTTATCTAAAACAAATAAATTAGTCTGCCACAATGGATTTCAGCAAATACTGAGTTCTGAGACTACTTATGCCCTTTTTGAAACTGCATATTAGATACTTTTAATGGAGAACCATTCTTGATTTCAGGATCATTTCACTTTCTCTTGCATGTAGTTCTGTGCTAGATAATCTTAATTAGCAGGAGCAAAGTTTCATTCAAAAGAAGAATAATCATGGTCGTGTCAAGTAATTCTCAAAAGTGTTCTTTTTAGACAAAGTTAAGGAATGACAACAAACATCATGGCCTATAGTAATTTTATATGATTATATAGTTGACTTTTACAGAGACTGATGTTTATGAGGAATTTTTAAAACAATTTTTATTCTATGTTTATATGATATTATATATTCAGACCCTATTCTCCATTCATTATTGAAATTGACAAAAACATTCATTAATCAGTTCTTTTATTTTGGTTGCAAGCTCAACTTTCATAATGTTGCCTGGATTATAACTCATACAAATGGAATTTATGAAATAGCTTATAACTGTATCATGGAATATACCTGTGTTGCGACACCCATTTAAATCCAAGCACTAAATAAGAACTTCTTTCATGCTTTAAGCTATATTTATATCTACTATTATTAACGCATTTGGCAGAGGCAAAAACAAGCATAACTCAGGGAAAGGGAACATATTTCTCTTTTCACACTGGCCTGCCTTTTATATAACCTTTTTGCTTCATCAGGAACTTAAAATATGTTCCACGGAAATGAAATGAAATGCTTTATTTAGTACGCTGCTCTACAGGAATGGAACACAGAAGTGAAGCTTGTATGACCTACCTGCTCAGTTAAATCTTACGCTCTTTTTTTTTTTTGTTGGAATGTACATTCTCTGTCTTTTCTTGGAAACCAGAAAATAAATGATTAAGAGTAAAAAGAGCAAAGCCAGTGCTGTCCTAAGAATACAGATCAATAAGGCGGTAGTTAACAGGTGAATTTCTGAGTACTTTTCTGAGCTAATGCTATATTTTGGAAAAGTGGACCTCACACTGATAGTACAGTTTATGATATAAGCAACATGAAGTAAACCATATTTTATTTTCTTTGCAAGGGAATATTCTCAATTTAAAGCAAGATGACCAAGGGAGCCTGTAGTTAGCCTCTGAATGTTATATACTAAAGAAGACAAACTTTCTTTCAGGACTCAGATAGAATGGACAACAGACAGCAGAGATATAGTTCTTTGCTCACATTTCTCTATATCTGAAAAAAAAAAAATCCTACAGATCATACCATGTGTTATTACCATTATTTTTCCTTATTCAGAGAATGACCAATTCTCAGTGACATTTGTTGCCAAAGTCGATAGATCCAAAATCCACATTTATGCTCCAGAATGCCACTGGAAGGAATTGAGTATCTCAAGATAGTTCAAGAATTAAGATACAACCATGTCTTCGATCTAATTGCATTATGGAAGCTACTCTTTGCCATCAACCACTCCTGAAGCTACTTCAATTAAAATAAAATTTAATAGAGCATTAGTTCCTAGTCCCAAATGCAGCTGCCCAGTATCTGACACCATATGCTCTAACTTTTGTTGCAGTATCACTTTGCGATGCAAAAAGCTAATGCTATCCATATGAGTAAAAGGCAACTTTGAAAATGTGGATGGCTGTGTAAAAGCATTGAGTGCACAGTGCTGAATATGCAGAGCAATGAAAGAAAAAAAGTTGTTTATTCTTTGCAGTAAGACCAGTAAGTTTCAGTGTTGTCTAGACAATACCTCAGATAACCCATTATATATAATCCTGTATAGGTGGAAGCATGAGTGCTCTTTCATCAGCTTGAAATCCAATCAGCATTCATTACTTCCATGCAGAGAGACAGGTTTAATGGCCTAATTCACTTTCTATACCAGTTGTGTGTCCCAGCAGATATAGAAACCTACCAGATGGCTTCAGACACTAATGACTCCATTACTTAAGATAACTCATCTTCCATTCCTGAGCTTCAGTACTGTCCCTCACCTCTTACAACAAGATCCATACAAAAAGATTGTCATTTTAGACTTACTTACCATTCATAGTATTTCCTTCCACTAGTATTTACCTGTAGCCAGGATAATATTTTTCTCTCCAACTTCATTTGACACTAAGTAACAACAGTAACAAAAAGCTAACATAACAGTGGTTGATAAAATCATTGAAGCATTTGAAAAGCAATTCACAGAATAAGATTGAGAAATCCTAAAAAGGACAGAACTAGTATTTTTCACACCTGAAGGATTTTAAGAGAAATTTAGCATGAAATAATATGCTTGGTATGCAGATTTTGAGGAAAGGCTTTTGTGTTTCTGGTTTTTTTCCTTTTTCATGTTTTTCTTTCTTGCTCTGTGCCCTGCATTTGTCTTTCTCGTTCTTGGGGCTGCTCTGGTAGGGATTATTGTCCAGGATCACAGAGAGTTATAATCAGAGCTGACTTTTTGTTGTACCCATAGCATTTGTTAAATCTGCCTACAAATTGAGATAACTTTAAAAAAATATCCTTCCTGCCAATCTCCCTGTGAAGCCTTTTTCTAGATCTTCTCAAAATTTGCACAGTAAATCCTCCTGAGCAAAGTATTAACTGCCTTAGTGTGTCTGTCCAGCAATTGGCAGGACTGTTGCTTTTGATTCTGAGTTGCAGGACTGTGGTTTCAGTGGTTTCTTTGAACTGTTTGCAGTGCTTACCTCTCATATCTTCCCTGAGATTGGACACGTAACACATCCTGGGACGTAAATAACCTGTGAAATCCTGCTCTTTGAATGAATGTACTACTTACAACTCTGTAAACAGAAAGTTTGGTTTGAGAGCAGAGTAGTAGCACTGAAAACAAGAGAACAATGTATTGCTGGAGTGAAAACAGGAGTAATAAGTAGACAGGAAAATGACAACGTGGTGTTTTCTCACCATGATCTTCTCAGCAAGTGGTTCAAGAAGGCTATCAAATTGTGCCTATTTTTAACCCATTGTAAATCCAACCTTTGCCCTAAACCAGATCAGAGTTTTGATTTTTAAGGGAATCATCCTAACTGACAGCCACTGCAGCCTTAGAAAATGTACTCCTAATGTGTGCTCTACAAACACTTACATTTTGGCACATATATTTCATGCAAGAACTGATCCACTGTTCTGCTTTGCACTGTTTGCATTCAAAGACTCTCATTTTGCCTGAGAAAAAAAGAAAACAGAAATAAATAATCACAAAATAAAACGTGACCAGAGAATAACACTCCCTGGTTGCTTTAGATCAGTAACAGCCAAAGCAATGATGAAACATTTCATGGATAAGAACGATCACTGATTGTGTAACATGCTACTACAGTGTCTTAATTATGTCAAAATAAATTAAAATATCTCAATCCCTTTTTATATATAGTTCAGCATACGTATCTAATTTTGGCCCTTTCTAAATGACCTCAGAAAGTCAGAAACGTTACTATTTCTTACTGGTGCTGAACTCGGTGTTCAATACAGGCCTATTTCAAAGATAAATATGATCATTTATGTGTTAAAATGTAAACCAGACAGCATATTGGTTCAAAACCAGTTCCTGCTCCCTTGACTCTTCTCCTAATGTTTCCTGAAATGGAGATTCATTCTCAGACTGGAAATATTCATCATAAAAAGTGTATCTGCATTTGTCTACTTGGTACACACATTTGTGTATCGGTAACTAATGCACACTACTTTTAAAAGTCTCATTTTTTCTCAAAGACAAAAAAAAAACATGCATTTTCTCAAAATCATGTATTTTACACAGGACACTTTGGAGTATGATATCTCAAGAAGTTATTATTGCTCATTGCTATTAATGACATTAATAGTACCTTTAAAAGAACTGAGAAATTCTCTTAGAGAAAGGCTGAGTTCCTAATTACTCACTGAATGTTCTGCATTTTAAATAAAGCTAGACAGATTTCTAAGATTAATTATTCCCCTAGAGATCACACAATGGAAAAGAATAGTAACAATATTGAACACTTACATGCACACACACATTATCCCTTTATTTACAAGTACTTAGTTAAGAAGTCCACTCATTAGATCTTCTCAGTGTATGCATTATAGAGTAACTCTAAAATTTGACTAGCTTGTTTCTAAATATTTGCTAATGACAGCTTTATTCAGCTTTGTAGCTGCAAATTTGCAAATTACCAGGTTCTGATAGTATACACCTGCAGTTAGTTCCTTTTAAAAAAGACTGGGGGCATTTTGGAGTGTTGAACATGATTCAGACTTTAGTGTGCAATGATTTTAGAAATGCTTTCATTTTTCAACTGTAGTCAGTTTATATGAATGCGATTTCTGATTCAAATGAGATGTAGTTGGAAAGCATGCTTACTTTAAATTTTACCAAACTGTGTTACCAGCTATTTAGCAAATGAATAATCTGTTTTACATAATTCATCTTGAAAGTTGAATGTGTATGTGTATTGTATCAATTATCACAGATCACCAGAAATATACAATCTGTACATCCCATTAATCATCTTCACAGACATACTGGAAGGAGGCAAAGGTGAAGGAGCTCTCAAATCATACATGTATTAGAAGAAGAAATTCTGCCTCAGAAGTTAAGTGTCAAAATCATCCTTGAAACAATAATAATAAGTTTACTGAGTTTGTTTAAAATAAGCAAGGATAGAATTGTTATTTTTGATGCAAAAAAAGAGACAGACTACTTTCCCGAGTGCCATAAAAATAAACTATTTTAATAGCCACATAAATAAAAAGTTTAAAGTAGATTTTTCCCCCCAAACACAAAGATGGCCTAGCTTCTGTACAGAAACTGAACAATATTCATGTGACTACTTAATTAAATAATCACTTTGTTACATTCAAAATAATTGGAGGCAAATACATATTGAAATGATGTACCTGAATCATTCTCCTCTCTCATCCTAGCAGTGTCTACAGCATTTCCTTGTTTTACAGTACTCTGAGGATTTGGATCTGTTGAACAAAACTCTGAATGACTGAGTGAAAATAAAGTTAAAAATCAAAAGCAAAACAAATAAACAACCCTTGCATCACCCACTAATTAAAGTTTGAATGGAAAAGAAGAAAGTATTGTGCTGTAAAATAAATTACGTCTTGCATGTTCTGTAGAATAGATATCTTAAAGTGTTTAAATATTACATTCACTTTGGTGATGTGCTTTTGCCTATGCCTATAATAAATTATATATGACATGTGCTAGTTATTCAGGTGTGCTGATAACAACCTTCTGGTTTTACTACAAATGAGGAAAGGTAAGCACATTAAGGGAATTTAAAAAGTATTTCTGGTTTACCTAAGAAAGACACTGTCTAATTCAAAGCAGCTTTCCTACTATCTTATTTCTCTCCCCAGCACCCCCAAAAAAGATACTGTTGGCTTCAATTTTTGCTGTGTTTTATCAAAAAATGTCACAGGTTGGTGGCTAATACTCTCAGACCTACAGAAGTTTTCAAGCTTTGCTTTTCCTTTCTCTCTATGAATCATCTGCCATTCCAGACTCTCAAAAAATTCTAACTAATTCAGGCAAGGAACAATCATTTGTTCACCAAAAATGGGCCTTCTGAAGTTAGGAGTAGTTGTGTTCCTATCTGGAATGTAGCTGTGATGGAAGAGCACCATTCTTCCTGTAGAGGAGAAAGTCTGTCACATGGATGTTTATGTATGTTTGATGCAGCGTCAAAATATCTCATCCTAGTGAAATTTGAGAACAAATTAAAAGATGACAGCTTTCCTCCATAGTGCAGAGCAGGCATTTCTGGTATATTGTCAGAATTCAAGGAATTTGGGCCAAGCTGTCTTAGGCTTGGCAAAAACAAGTATGCTGAAAGTCTATCTACCAGCAAGACGTGATCGGCAATGTAATGACTGTCCTTTTTTCCGATTTGCTTTTTTCTTGTTCTTGTTCTTCTTTTGCTTATTAGCACCTTTACTTTTATCTGACTTCTTCTTCTTTTCATCCTCTTTAAACCATGGACCCCAGACTCCTCCATTCAGCTTTGGGTTACTCCGTGGATCCTTAGGTGGGTACCGAACAGGAACCGCAGTCTTATTAAACTGTGAAAGCCTCCTCAACAGCTGTTTCACTACATCAGGATACTTTGCAGAGAGGTCCACCCGTTCGTATGGATCAGCAGTTATGTTGAAAAGCCACACAGTTTTGCCAGCTGACCAAGAAACACGTTCATTATGCCAGCGATTGGGGCCCATGTTGCTGAAGGCCTGCGGAGGAACCCAGTCACTATATCCTGGATTTCCTGTCAGTAGTTTCCAATGATTCACTCTGATGGCAGATTGAATTGCAGTGTTCCAGATCCCATAGCCAGCTGCCCAAGAACCATTTTTGGCTTTGGTGTAAATTGGGTCAATGTTGTGTAAGATGTCTACCCGTGGAGAACGTCTGCCTTCGCTAATGGTTTCCCATATATCATAGCCATCTAACTGGATATCTTCATCAATCTGTCCTTCAGCCAGTGTGATCAAAGTGGGGAACCAGTCCGTGATGTGCACAAGCTCCTTACACACAGACCCTTTGTTTTTCAGAAGGGGGCTGTGGACAAACCCAACAGCACGGATACCTCCTTCCCAGTATGTTCCTTTGCTCCCTCGGAGAGGCCAGTTACTTCCTCCAGCCATTGGCTGCCCACCGTTATCTGAAGAGTATATGATAATGCTATTGTCATAGTAACCGTACTTCTTTAGAGCAAGGGTTACGTTGTTTATGGCTTCATCCAAACAAGCTAGCATCGCAGCATATCTTCGCCTGTTTATGTTATTTATGGATCGATAATGTTCAAAATACTTTCCTGGTGCCTGAAGAGGTGAATGAACAGCTTGGTAAGCAATATATAAGAATATAGGTTTCCTGGGATTGTGAGAAGCTAATATTTGTTGTACTTTTTGCGTGTACATCTGTGTGGAGTAGATGCCATTGTCGTGATCCCAAGCTGCATTATCATTCTCATACAGGTCATAGCCACATATTCCAGGGCTGTCACATTTGAAGTGAGTGTAGTAGTCACCGCTGCCTAAGAGTGAGCCAAAGAAAGTGTCAAATCCTCTCTGTGTGGGCATGCATTCTCTGCGATAAAACCCCAAGTGCCATTTGCCAACCATGTGTGTTGAGTAACCAACCTCCTTCAGCTTCTGAGGTAGCGTGACGTTATCCAGAGGTAGGCAGTTGGGCTGGGTTGGCCGTATAATGGAGTGCTGAAGGCCGGTGTGTATCTGGTACCTAGGGGCAGGCAGGAGAGAGACATTTGCATCAAACAGGGGGAAAAGGAAAGCCTCCAGCCCTTACCCATGGACACACATGCATATAAGTGATAGAAACAATTCTTAAGCACGAAGCAATGTTTATTTGAAATATTTCAGAGTGCATATGTCAAAAACTAACAAGGTTATACTACTAAATCTGCTGAAGCAGGAGAATGGCATCTGTTTTACTTCACGAGCATTCAAAAGAGTGGCTTCTCCCTCGCTGGCCACTGGGCAACAATACTAAACAAGTAACATGATACAGCACATCACACACTCCCCTCCCTTTTGGCCTCATTTTTAGCATTCTGATTTCCTTGTAGCTGTGAGCAGTGTCAGAGAATCTCAGAGGCAACAAGCTCTCTGCAAAGCATTAGTTAGGCATTACTATTTTAAAGCTAGCAGTCAAACTCACAGACTTTTCCAGTATCCCTCATGTATAATACAAACCCTAAAAAGCAGAATGATTGCATTGCATTTTTGAGCATGAATTAAGTACCATAGCCATGACTCAGGCCCAGTTCTCACAACATGCACAGTCCTGAAGCCCCAATGACCAGACTTCTGGTGATTCATCATGCAACATGCGTATGGGCTATGATTTAGTAGAGACATTGCTAATGTTATAACAACTGAGTCAGTCATCAGCATATACACGATGGGGCCTGGCTCTGCACCCTTTGGAGTCCGGAACACCTACAGTCCCATGCTGTGACGTTCATTTCCTAAGGAAGAGGTGTAAGCATGTACGGATGGTGAGTTAGGTTTGCCCTAACTAAAAGGAAATTTACAGTGAAAGATGTTTATGAGAAATCACTGAAAAGAAAGTGATAATTTCATCACGGATCTTTTGTTCAGCACTCATTTTCTGTCTACGCCTAACATTTCTCTGAAATGTTTCCTATCAGAAACTGAGTTAGTCAAAATATCTAGATATACAGGAGCACTGACATTTTGAGATACATATTTTTTTTCTCCACAGAAAGCTTTATCATGTTACCATTTCACAATGATTATGAAAAAATATTTGGATGAATACAATTTTTACAATACCTCATGATTTGATAGTGGTAAACATTTATATACCTATACTGCACTTGGCAACTGCAACAATAGTATATTTAAAGGATGAGATAATAAATCCTGCAGCATAGTCTGCGAGAAAAGAATACGTACAGTATCCATAACATTAAAAAACAAATTCAGCATGGGAAGTAGTAACAAAAATTAAGCACAAGTCAGTTTTTAACACTCAGACACTACAAATAAAATTTATCAGCACATTGTGAACTAAAAGAGGCTTCTCCCCGATTATAAGAACAGACAAAATTCTCAGACATGAGTAGAACTGCTAGGTGCCTCGCCACTGTGAATCCGCCTCAAAAATACTTTTACTATTTTGTGGTAACAGAAGTTGGGATTTTCTGACGCATTCTGCTAATACTGCCAATCTGATTGGCCTCCTGAGCTATCTACACAATTAAAAACATTAAGCTCTGCCTGCCCATAAATAACCTAGTCTGCTTCTATATGATGTCTGCCTGGACAACATCTTAGTAGGTAACATGGATGTTCTTAATGCCTGCCAAGCTGTAATAATTGTGTTAACTTCCATTTTATTCTTGGACTTTCGTTATTTTCACAGAACCAGAAGCTGTAGTCCAACTAAATAACTGCAGAAGCTTTGGGTGTTGTGCTCCTCTGCTTTAAGCAGCACTGCTTCCCTCTGTCTCTCTGGAACTTTCTCAGAGCATTGTTTCTATCTGAAATAGTTTGTGCATCTGGAGCCCTGCCATCCAACTGTCCCAAAACTCACAGGCTGGTGCTGAGACAGGACAGACTGCATAGCAACAGAGCACTTCCAAAATAATGGGTTTCTGGGCTTTACACTTTACTTCCATGAAAGAAATGTCATGCATGCACAAACATCCACATCATTTCCATGATTAGTTGCATTTTTCTTTCAGAACAGGTAAACTACAGCAAGGAAACCACAATGAATAATGGAAATGCCCCATATTTCAGTTCACTATTTCTTTGAGAGCCCACAGGGTACTATGCTAAGAAGATATTTAATTTCCTTCCCCTTCTCTGTCCCCCTGCCTTGTTCAACTCTTTCAGCAAATTCCCCTGATTGGCTCTGACTGAAGATCCCACGCTGCTACTCTAGCGCACAGATCTTGCCTTCTCCATCCCTGCCAGACTAAAGATCACCACCCAGCCCCAGTTGGGCAGTTTCTCCCTTTACACTGATTTTGCTGGCATTTGCTGTTGGAATTTTCTTTACAGTGATGCTGGAGTAATAGAGACCCTTGCTAACTCTTTGACAGACAAACAGAATGTGAGGGGAATGGGTAACAGCACAGTACACTGCAAACTAAGCTGCTTCCTGACAAAGCTTACACAGCAAGTATGAAACTCATACAAAGTTAATTCACATTAAAAAATCATAACCAACACACAGATTTCCCAGCTTTTCAATTATACATCCAAGCATGAAATTCCTACACTGGCTATTTGAAAAACATTGAACTAAAAAAATATCAAGAATTAGCTTCAGTTATTAGACATTATTCTTAGTTATTACACATTATTCTTAGTAAAATATCTGAAGTACAGCAGTGCCCCTTGTTGCAGTAAGTTATTCAGCATGCTGGTTATAATACACACAGAACAGTCTTGCTCAAATTCTGCTTTCACGTACTTCTGGTATGTTTCCCATATGTGTACGTGTCTGGTATTTATGGCAGATACACTTCTGGATATACATACATGCACACATACAAATAGATACGCATATGTAAATTGACTTACATAAATAATCATTTTTAAGATAGAATATTTCAACTGCAGAAGTGTCTCAATGCAATTGCAGCCTATAACTATCAGGACACTCTTCACTATCACAAAAGCGGTCAGGATTTGCTCACTTTTCTGTGCCACATGCCTTTCTAATAGATCCATTATGTGCCACTATTACTTTTCCAGTGAAAGGATTATATTTTCAAAGGACTTTCAGATGTTTCATGAGAAAACAAAGGAATCTGAGCAAAAGACAATGATTATATAGAAATAAACTGCATAAGTAGCTAAAGGAAAAATATTGCATCATTATCATTTTGAAACTGTATTTAGACTGCGCAAGGGAAGAAAAAAATGAGCATGGCAAAAAATGAAGGAAATAAGAGGCATATGCTGATACTTTGGGGGAGTCCTCCAGACTCTAGTGCATGAGCTCACTGTCTGCCAAGATATTTCTGTGGAATACATTTTGTAGATTTCATAGTTTCCCACCACCAACTTGCTAATTCTTCAAAATGCTTTGGTTGAATTTAATCCTAAATACAGAAAGCAATTTATGATAAAGAACAGCCTGGAGCTCCTCATTATAGTAACATTAGTAACCAGGTCAATACAAATAATAAATAATTTAATAATAATAATAATAAATATAAACGCTGATGAGTTGCACAAAGTAATTGTCCTGTTTTTCAGACTTTGACCTCCATGGACAGTATTTACATTAAGGTGAAAGAGTGACAGTACTCTGCAAAAAGTGTAGGTTCCAGGACTTGTGAATTCTTCATGTCCACACTGTCTTTTCTTCCACCCTGCCCCTTGAAGATTCTAAGCCATGTCTGTGCCTACTAGATATTTGAAATTTGAAAAATGCCTTCTGTTCTTGTTTAACAACAACACCAACATAAACCTAAGTAAAAATTATTTGAAATGTTCAGTTAATAACATACCTACTGAAAAGTATAAATTACAGAAATGTTTTTGTTATTATTCCTTACCACCTGGGCATGTTTCTGCATGGTGGATTTTCTACTCTCACTTTGATTTTATTGGTGTGGAAGTTGTTCAGATGTTTACAGTAAAAACACTGCAGTAACTGTTCCAGCTAAGGCAGCTGTATAGTGCTAGCTGACTGTTACAGCACTATTCATTTGCTTGTAGTGGAAACTTGAGAGCCACGGCCTCCCAGAGAAAGTATCTTGGTGACTTTGTACGACCTTTGGTTCTTGAATGCCAAGAGAAATATTTTGGAGGTTTCTTAAATTAAACCAACAAACAAGCAAATCCTTCATCCTGGGTTTGATACTGCTTTCCACCATGATTTCCCTTCCTGTTTCACTCTACAAGGACACACAGCTAAGCCAAAGACTTGTATATTACTCCTACTATCTCTCTCAAGGTGCAGTGACAATTAAGTTGCTAAAGCACCTGAACTTATGTTCAGGTGCTGGAGTCTTTGTGGATATAAATCCCCACGGAGACACTACAGACAATTTGATCTGAACTTGAGGAATGCATGAACATTTAGAGGTCTAATTTCCCATTTCTGATGTCCCTAGTAATGATAAACTACTTTTCCACTTCTCATCTGAAGAACAAACCAAACTACAGAAGTAGATCAATGATACTGATATTTGTATGTTTTCACTGCTATTCACTGAAGCAGAGAGCAAGACTAAAGGTCTGTAAGAGAAAGAAGTTCTCTTGGCATGTCTCAACCCCATAGTGCTTATGGAGTCCAAAACATATGTTCATCAAACCAGCTCTCTTTAAAAACATCTTAAGGAGTTTTCTATTGAGCACTTTCCCCTTAACTTCATTGTAGGCTCTCCATCAAGAAAGAAGCTCAGATGTTTTTATTTTGTAATGTGAATGTAACTGACTGTAATTTTAAAATACTGCATTAATTGTCTTCAAACCAGGATTCTTTCAAGGCTCAATTAAGATTAACAAAGAAGCACAGTTTTAAGTTCCTAAGTTCAGGGACTTTTGCTAGCATGTAGAAAACTTATCTTTATTATGTTTGCACATCTTAGGAAACAATCAATCGTGGAATTGCTCAGGTTGGAAAACACCTTAAAGATCATCGAGTCCAAGCACAAACTAATCATACTACCCTAACTCTAACAACCTTCTGCTAAATCACATCCCTGAGCACCACATCCAAACAGTTCTTAA